ATCAGCGATCTTCACGCCGTTAGTGGAGCGATGCCGTCGGCCGTTTTTCGCGGATCTTCTCGTTTCTTTTTATCGGTCCTGCTGGAAACTCTGTGTGTTGTCAGCATTGGCGGCAGGAACGACCGATTTTTTGTTTTGATTCAGCCGAATAAACGGCCCATCTATGGCCTGCATAAGACACAGGCAGGCTGGAGGGGTGTGACGTAGCCTGTGATTGGCTGAAACCCGCCCACGCCATGATATTGCCAAAAAATACGAATAAAGATTTGATTTCAAATATATTATTTATATGACAGTTTATTGAGATGGGGGCAGCACAGCGGATATAATGGTTGACATTTCCACCTGGCAGTACTAGGGTCGTTGGTTCGAATCCCAACCATGGCACCACCTGCCTGGAGTTTGCATGTTCTCCCTGTGCCTGGCGTGGGTTTCTTCCGGGTACTCCAGTTTCCTCCCACACTCCAAAGACATGCTGGTAGGTTAATTGGCTCCTGTCTAAATTGTCCCTAGTATGTGTATGTATGAATGTGAGTTAGGGACCTTAGATTGTACGCTCTCCTCGGGGGGCGGGGACTGATGTGAATGTACAATATATATGTAAAGTGCTGCGTAAATTGACGTAAATTGACGGCTATATAAAGTACCTGAAATAAATAATTATTTTATTTTTAGTCTGTATCCCAAAGGCTGTTCTTTTTTTAACATGTGACCAGAAACTCCTCCTGCCACTGTTTCCCTACTACAGGGCAGCCTGGGAGAGAGCTGGGTCATGTGACAGTGTGGTATATAGATTGGGAAAAAAGGTACTTTGACTTTTCTTTTTTTTTAATAAAATAATTCCAGTGTCATCATCCATATAGAGGAAGAGGTTGGGGCAATGTCAGTGACACGTGTGGGTTCAGTATCACTTTTTAAAACCAAAAGTCAGTAGTCACATCAATCCACTTCTGAGATGAAGGGTGTCATATATTGTATTTGACCTCTTCTTTATCTTCTTATAGATTGTAAGCGCTCACACCTTCTGTATCCTTCCTTATACACCCACGGCCTACGAACTGCGGGGCCCATGGGCTGTTATGGGGGTCCTTGGGGCACTATTCCCCCCACTGACACCAATGATGGGGCACTAGATTCCTCCCCACTGACACAATGATGGGCCCATCATTGGTATCAGTGGGGAGGAATAGTGCCCCATCATTGGTATCAGTGGGGAGGAATAGTGTCCCATCAATCATTGGTGTCAGTGGGAGGAATAGTGTCCCATCATTGGTTATCAGTGGGAGGAATAGTGCCCATCATTGGTGTCAGTGGGAGGAATAGTGCCCCATCATTGGTATCAGTGGGAGGAATAGTGTCCCATCATTGGTATCAGTGGGAGGAGGATAGTGCCCCATCATTGGTGTCAGTGGGAGGAATAATGCCCCATCATTGGTATCAGTGAGGGGAATAGTGCCCCATCATTGGTGTCAGTGGGAGGAATAGTGCCCCATCATTGGTGTCAGTGGGAGGAATAGTGCCTCATCATTGGTGTCAGTGGGAGGAATAGTGCCCCCATCATTGGTGTCAGTGGGACGGAATAGAATAGTGCCCCTCATTGGTGTCAGTGGAAGGAATAGTGCCCCATCATTGGTGTCAGTGGGAGGAATAATGCCACATCATTGGTATCAGTGGGGGGGAATAGTGTGCCCAATCATTGGTGTCAGTTGGGAGGAATAGTGCCCCATCATTGTATCAGTGGGAGGAATAGTGCCCATCATTGGTGTCAGTGGGGAGGAATAGTGCCCTGCATCCATTGGTGTCAGTGGGAGGAATAGTGCCCATTCATTGGTGTCAGTGGGAGGATATAGTGCCCCATCATTGGTGTCAGTGGGAGGAAATAGTGCCCCATCATTGGTGTCAGTGGGAGGAATAGTGCCCCATCATTGGTGTCAGTGGGAGGGAAATAGTGCCCATCATTGGTGTCAGTGGGAGGAATAGTGCCCCATCATTGGTTGGCCGCAGTGGGGGAGGAATAGTGTCCCAATCATTGGTATCAGTGGGAGGAATAGTGCCCCATCATTGGTGTCAGTGGGAGAATAGTGCCCATCATTGGTGTCAGTGGGAGGGAATAGTGCCCATCATTGGTGTCAGTGGGAGGAAATAGTGCCACATTCATTGGTATCAGTGGGAGGGAATAGTGCCCCATCATTGGTGTCAGTGGGAGGATATAGTGCCCCATCTATTGGTGTCAGTGGGAGGAATTGTGACTCATCATTTGTGTCGGTGGGCGAGGATTAGTGCCCCATCATTGGTATCAGTGGGAGGAATAGTGCCCCATCAATGGTGTCGGTGGGAGGAATAGTGCCCATCATTGGTGTCGGTGGGAGGAATAGTGCCCATCATTGGTGTCGGTGGGAGGAATAGTGCCCAATCATTGGTGTCAGTGGGAGGAATTAGTGCCCCATCATTTGGTATCAGTGGGGGAATAGTGCCCCATCATTGGGTGTCAGTGGGAGGGAATAGTGCCCCATCATTGGTGTCAGTGGGGAGGAATAGTGCCCATCATTGGTGTCAGTGGGAGGAATAGTGCCCCATCATTGGTTGTCAGTGGAAGGAATAGTGCCCCCATCATTGGTATCAGTGGGAGGAATAGTGCCCCATCATTGGTGTCAGTGGGGGGGGGGAATAGTGCCCCATCATTGGTATCAGTGGAGGAATAGTGCCCCATCATTGGGTATCAGTGGAGAGGAATAGTGCTCCATCATTTTGGTATCAGTGGGGGGAATAGTGCCCCATCATTGGTGTCAGTGGGAGGAATAGTGCCCCATCATTGGTATCAGTGGGAGGAATAGTGCCCCTTCATTGGTATCAGTGGGAGGAATAGTGCCCCATCATTGGTGTCAGTGGGGGGGGGGGAATAGTGCCCCCATCATTGGTATCAGTGGGAGGAATAGTGCCCCATCATTGGTGTCAGTGGAAGGAATAGTGCCCCATCATGGTGTCAGTGGGGGGGGGGGGGGAATAGTGCCCCATCATTGGTATCAGTGTGGGAGGAATAGTGCCCCATCATTGGTTGTCAGTGGGAGGAATAGTGCCCCATCATTGGTGTCAGTGGGAGGAATAGTGCCCCAATCATTGGTGTCAGTGGGAGGAATAGTGCCCATCATTGGTGTCAGTGGGAGGAATAGTGCCCCATCAGTGGTGTCAGTGGTGGATGGAACATTGCTCCAAGGGTCAGGTAGAGGCCCAAGGTTGCAGTTCGGAGCACCACTGTCCTATTGGATTGTTAAGCTCTTCTACCCTCTCTATTATGTTTCCAGTCTTTCCCGTCTCCATTGCAATGACAGCTCGTTGTACAACATGACAGGACTATGTTGGAGCTTTATGGGTGATATCCCACCTTCCAATCTCTCTCTGTAATAACTGCTGGTGTCCCCCCCCCCCTCCTCCCCCCCCCCCCCCCGCCCCCCCCCCCCCCCCCCCCCCCCCTCCCCCACCCCCCCCCGGTCATATCCATCTATGAATTATCTACTCATCTTCTTTCTTTTCTCATCAGTCCAGACTTGACATTTTCGACACATTGTTTCTATACAATAATAATCTCTATTCCAGGGAAATGATAATAATCTCCGGTGGACCTGTGACACCCATCAGCCGGCGTTGTCATCGCTCCTCTCTGTGCGATCGCCTCGCAGCCATTTAAAGGGATGACTGAACCCGAGATCAGAAATGTAATATAGATGTGCTGCCGAATATTGTCAGAAAAAGACTTGTTGATCCCGCCAGGAATGTTGCGTCTTCCGGTCACTTCCTGTGGGCTGCTCAGATGAATATCTTCCTTCCTAGTTATCTTTGGGGGAATCTCAACAATGGGTGTCAGCGGGTATTCCTGGGGCCACATCCCAAAGTCAATTCTAAAACCCAAAAGTGAAGATGGAGGAACGCGGGACGCTCTAGGCGCTAGAGACCTCGGGATTATGGACAGTCAAACACTGCGACAGTAACATGCAGGGGAAGACTGACAACTCACGGGGCCCCGGGCAATAGGGGATCATGGGGCCCCTGTGTCCTTGCCCACACTCAAAGCACACCCACAAAAACCTATAAAAGGTACCAGGGGCATTTCATGGGGCCCCTACCGACCCCGGGCCCAGTGCTTAGTTTTTTTTTTGGGCAGTGCACCGAGTGCTGAATGGTCAGTCCGCCCCTGATAACATGGCATATGTTTTATTACACTTGATGTACTAGAACAGGGGTGGACTGACAAAACTCACGGGGCCCCCGGGCAATAGGGAATCATGGGGCCCCTGTGTCCTTGCCACACTCAAAGCACACCCAAAAAAACCTATAAAAGGTACCAGGGGCATTTCATGGGGCCCCATACTGACCCCTGGGCAGTGCCTGAGTGCTCGAATGGTCAGTCCACCCCTGGGTACCATGGCATATGTTTTATTACGATTGATGTACTAGAGACAGGGGTGGACTGACAACTCATGGGGCCCCCGGGCAATAAGGGATCATGGGGCCTGTTTCCTTTCCCAAACTCAAACCACACTAAAAAAAAGCCTATGAAAAGGTACCAGGGGCATCTCATGGGGCCCCCTATCAACCCCGGGCCCTCGGGCAGTGCATATGAGTGCTCGAATGGTCAGTCCGCCCCTGATAACATGGCATATGTTTTATTACGCTTGATGTACCAGATATTACCCCCCCCCCCCTGACCAGGCCATGTTTTGTGTTACGGCGTTGCGTTACTTTAACTGACAATTGCACGGTCATGCAACGCTGCACCCAAAATGCAATGTATGCCCCTTTTCCCCACAAATAGAGATTTCTTTCGTTTGGTATTTCATCGCCTGTGCGTTTTTTATTTTTTGCGCGCTATAAACAAAAAAAGACCAACAATTTTGAAAAAAACCAAAACAATATTTTTGACTTTTTGCTATAAAACATCCAATAAAAAAAATGTACCACTTCCTATCCAGCCCATGTATTTAAGCGGCCAGACAGGGGCAGTGCGCCCGCCATTTTGGACTGTGCGAGCTTCCTGGGAGCGTGTGGCACCGCGATCTGCTGCTGTTTGTGTCCGGAGGACATATCGGAACACCGATCATCGTGCTCGGGACCTCTGTGTGAGGGTCCCAATCATATGATCACTGATTGGCCAATCAGTGATCACATACAGAGTAGTAAGCAAGATGTCACTTGTCCCATCATTGCTTACTACGTGTGAAATCAGTGAATGATCACAGAGGTCACATGGTACAGGGCTATTCACAACAGCCTTGTACCATGTGACAAGCTGTGACCAATCACAGCTCACACAGTATTTCTCAATGGATGCAAGAATGCAGCCAGATGAGAAGGAGAAATGATTGATGTTACAGCCTTTATGGGTGAAAAAGCAATCAGTGTAAAAAAAAAAATCTTCATCACCCCCCACAAGCAGTACAGTGTCACTATGGTGACACTGTACTGCTACTGCTAGGTGACAGTATGTAAAAAAAAAACAAATAATAATATTAAAAAAAAATAAAAATGTAAAAAAAAAATGTTTTAAATTATAATTTTTGGTTATAAACTAATTTGGATTATTATTTTTTATACTAAAAAGATAACTGAATACATTCTGGCCAAGATTTATGAAGAAAGATTATTCATTTGCAAAATTTTATAAGAAGACTTTTTCATTTATATAGCAAAAAAAAAAATTAAATCCCAGCGTGTGAATAAATACCACCAAAATAAAGTTTTATCTGTCTCAAAAATTTTTTTTTTTTAAATTCATATGGGTACAGTGTTGCATGACCGCGCAATTGTCACTCAAAGTGTGATAGCGCTGAAAGCTGAAAATAGGCCTGGGCAGGAAGGGGGTGAAAGTGTCCACGGACTGGAAGGCATGGGCAGGGGTGAAAGTGTCGGACTGGGAAGGGGGAAAGTGTCCGGACTGGAAGGGGGTTGAAAGTGTCTCCGGGCAGGAAGGGGGGGAAAAGTGTCCGGACTGGAAGGGGTGAAAGTGTCGCCGGACTGGAAGGGGTGGAAAGTGTCCGGGGACTGGAAGGGAGTTGTTGAAAGTTTGTATCCGGGCAGGATTAGGGGGGGAAAGATGTAGGCTGGAAGGGGGTGAAATTGTCAGGCTGGAAGGGGTGAGAAGTGTCCGGACTGGGAAAAGGGGGTTGAAAGTGTTTCCGGACTGCGTGGGGGTGAAAAGTGTCGCCTCCCCCGGCAGGAAGGGGGGGGAAAGTTGTCGGACTGGAAGGGGGTGAAAGTGTCCGGACTGGAAGGGTGAAAGTGTCCGGACTGGAAGGGGGGGAAAGTGTCCCAGACTGGAAGGGGGGGAAAGTGTCCCGGACTGGAAGGGGGGGAAAGTGTCCGGGCTGGAAGGGGGGGGGGAAAATGTCCGGGGGGGGGGGATGGGGGGGGGGGTGCGGATGGAAGGGGGGAAAGTGTCCGGACTGGGAAGGGGTGAAATGCGGACTGGAAGGGTGAAAGGTTGACTGGAAAGGGGGGAAA